TAGAAATGAGAAACATGGAAGGGCCTCTTCAATAAGTGATAAAGAACTGAAGAAAGGGAGGTAGTTATGAAAACTGGAATATCTTATATGAAAAGATATGGCAGAGAAAAGGAACAAGTATAAATGCCCTTTGGTGGGAGTGGATGTAGTGAGCAAAGGGGCTAGTGGGGCTGGATTGGGGAGGTTAGCAACAAAGGCAGACATGCGATAAATTTAGAAAAGTAGGATTACAAGGTTTGAGAAGCGTAGTCCTGAATGGCCTTGGAAACCATTAGAGCCTTGGCTTTACTCTGAGTGAGACAGAAATTACTAGAGGATTTTTGAGTAGAGAAGTGGCATGACCATTCTGATGGCTGTAAAATGAACTTGAATTGATTGGGAGGAAAGGAAGAAATGCAATTATTAGTGTTCTTCCAAAAACAGGCAGGAGAATTATGGCTTGGACAACAATGGCGTTATGGAGGGTATGGCTGGAATTTGGTCATATTTTGAAAATAGAACAGAATTTGCTATTAGACTGAATGTGGATAAGAATACCCCAAGGCTTTTAACCTGAGTAACTAAGAGAAAGAATTACTGAGAAGATTGCTGACAGTGATGGTGAGATTAAGTGGCGATGTAAGGGATTGACCTATTAAGTTTAAGTTGTTTATGTGTCTAAATAAAGATATTAAGTAGACTCTTTTTAAAAAAAGTAGATTATTGCATATATGAACTCCCTCGGGGTAGGGGACCCAGTAGGAGATCTAAATTTTGAAGTACTCAATTTATAGATAGTATTTAAACCCATGAAATCATATGAGTTCACCAGGGACTAAACATAGAGAAGAAATCCGATGACAGTCCTATGAACTTCAAATTTAAGAGATCAGTACGATGAAGAGGAACATGGAGAGAAGAGGCTGTGTACACAGGGGATTTTGCTGATAATGCATTATACAGAATTGAGTAGAAATTTCAGGAGTTATAGGAAATATGGTTAGATTAGGAAATATGCTTGGCTGTATGAGACGATATTCAGAAATGAAGTATGACATGAATTTGCTTCTTCTGGCAATTGACATGAACAAGGATGGGAAGCATGGAGTGATTAGTGCCGCTGGCTGCTTAAGCAGATTGCTGATGCTACAAGGCTGGGGTAGGGTGGTGGTGAGGGAGTAGGTTCTGGATATCTTGCCAGGAACACACAGAGTTTTGAATAACATAATCCTGCATAACAGGATCAAGTCCAAAATTTACAATCTGGTCAAAATCTAGTTATTTTCACACACATACCAGTCTCAGCAAACTTCTGATGATACAGCAAATCAACCATCTTTGTTTTCTCTATGCTATTACATAGTCTCTCTTCTCTGTCCTACCCTTCTTTATATAAGAATTTATCTGCCTTCTAGAGCCTAAAGAAATGTCATCTCTCCCCATGTAGACATTCTTGACTACTTCAAAGAAAATCTGATGTTATATTCTAAGCATCATATTATACTGTTCTAGTAAATCTATCTTTTCGGAGATTGTGTACACACTGACTGTGAGACCGAAAAGTTTTTTTTTTTTTTAAAGTATTACATAGGTCTAATTTTTCCCCCAATTGACTTCGCCCCATCCACCCTCTCCTCCTGGACTGTGAAAGGGCACAGGCCGGGCTGATTTGCCTCATCCACCCTCTCCTCCTGCATTGTGAAAGGGCACAGGCTGGGCTGAGGAACGCCCCCCCCCACCCCCCCGCCCAGTGCACGAATGTCATGCATTGGGCCTCTAGTATGTACATAAATTCACTGGTTAATCTCTTTGTTCACTATTATCTTTATTCTTTTAAGTTTTCAAATACCTTTCTTATGCCATACTTTTGTCCATCCTTCCTTCTCATTTCCTTCACTTCCTCTCTCTCCATTCTCTCTTTCTATCCTTCCATCTTTTGTTCAATACACATTTATAGATCATTTCAAAAGTTAGTAATTTTATACTATTCATTTGCTTCTGCCAAATAATAAAATAAAATTAGGACATAATTGCTAACAAGAATTTTACAGGCTAATGAAAGAGACCAAAGATATATTAGCAATCACAATTTTTTAAATATTTCATAATGTGGCCCTGATCTTCCTCTTCTGCCACGTATCTTACAACTGGAGTAATGACTCCAGCTGAACCATATGCCTATTATTATTTAAGAAATCAAATTCACTTCTCACACCCTCACCCACCAAGCACCTGCAATCATGCTACATGTTCTGTATTCAAAAGGCTTGCA